TATAGTAGATGCCTGATACATATTTTTCAATGAAAGACTGAGTTCATATGAAAGCTTCTAGGGTGGGGTGTATAGCTTAGTGGTAGAGCACTTGCCAAGCAAGTGCAAGGCCCTGGGTTCAATCCTCAGTACTGCAAACAAACAAAACTGTGTGGGTGCTTTTCTTGTGCTTCTCTTACAAGACTGTTGTCATGAGAATCAGCTTTGAGGCAGGTTTCCAAATGTCAGTCACTTCTATATTTTTTTGCCAACACTAAATGCCATCATTACTTTTCTTTACTACTGACTTGCTAGTTTTAGGCTGAAATAGATTTATTTTAAAAAGAAATTTTATATCACTACTATAAATAACAGTAACTGTGAAAACAAACCCATAGAAAACAAAACAACTTTATTCCATTTTATCCCTGATTCTATTGCTGGCTCAAGGCTAGGAGCCTGAGGCTTTCTCTTCCTTTACAAGGGAAATTGGCATGGTTATAAAAATGTTAAGGACCTATTAGCCCCAAACTGACACTTTCCTCTGCAGAAAATCCAACCATTAGGAAGTGGAAAGAGTACACAGTGCTCTCTATGCAGGTCCATCTTATGTTAAGCTTGGTCCTGTTCTTTGATAGTTCCCTTGTGTAGGTTCTCTTTCCATGCTTAGGGAAGTAATTGGCCAAGATGATGGCAGGGAAAGGCCTTTGAAAGGGGTAGAGTACTTTAACAGTGTAGACGATTGGTATGATTTTTTTTTTTTTTTTTGTTCTGGGGATTGAACTCAGGACCTTGCATTTGCGAGGCAGGCAGTGGAACCACTGAGCTAAATCCCTGGCCTGGTATGATTATTCTTATCTTTACTCTCAGGATGTTTTGGGGACCTCCTACCTACTAGATGATGAGAAATAAGAATGAAGAAGTGAATAACTGTATAGACTCTTAAACTTGAAAGAAATCTTAGAGAATGCTCAGGCCAGTCTGACACCAGACCAGTGGAAACTGCTTTTTAGTGAGTGGAAAATCTGCTACTTCCTGTGACAACCACCAAACCATGAGCACCTTTGTTGAATTGCTTCTTGGATGGCTCTGGAGGCCATTTGTCAAAACTGCTTCCTTGTACCTTGGTCAGGTGTACATTGGAGAGACTCACAGACCATCTTGCTTTTCTTGTTTAGAGTTCTGGATATTGGAAGACTAATGAGCTATTCTGCCTAAGATAAGGCTTGCAAACTCAAATGACTGTGGGTTCCAGCAAGTAATATCAAGAGGTCAAGTGGGGGAGTGCTGGGGAGCAGTGGGAACTGTTGTAAATTAGAGGGCATGTGCTTTATCTAACGGTCCCTTTTCTTCACCTGCTGGTGGTTGCCATGTGAGCCCAGCATGGCCAGATATTGAATTGTTCTAAGAAATTCTGGTGTTGAAAATAAAATGTCTAAGCTTTAAATGTTAGCAATGAATTAAAATATTGCAAAATATGGTCTGAACTAAAACCAAACAAAACAACAAAATGAGGCAGACCATAGGGGATTTTCTGGTTAAGTCTGGGTTCTAGCCATACTCCTTGCTGCCTCCAAACTTCTCTGACCCCTGTGGTGTGGGTGACCCTCTCTGCAGGATGTGAAGTGTGTTGGTTTCCACAACTCCTTCCATTGTGATCAGACCCTCTGCATGTCTTTTTTTTCTTTTAGGTACTGGGGATTGAATTCAGGTCCTTGTGCTCGCAAGGCAGGCAGCAGCCAAACCATTGAGCTAAATTCCTGTCCCCTTCTGCATGTCTTTTTTTTTTCAGCTTTAATTGAGTTTATTGGTACATTTTAGGGATACAGTACAGTTACATTCATTGTTGGGATCTTGTACCTCTACCTTCTGCATGTCTTTTTTTTTTCAGCTTTAATTGAGTTTATTGGTACATTTTAGGGATACAGTACAGTTACATTCATTGTTGGGATCTTGTACCTCTACCTTCTGCATGTCTTTGAACACTGCCAGAGTCCCTCTCAGCTCCTCTGCTCCTCTCACCTAGTGAACTCCTACTGATGTTTTGAGATTCATATCCATGTCCCATACTCTGGAGAGCCTCCCTGATAACCCTGGGAAGAAGACAGATGTTTCCATTTTCTAACTGTGATAATGAGTAAATTACCAAATCTTTCTGTGCCTCAGGTTTGTTTGTTTGTTTTAAAATCTGGAAAATGACAATAGTTCCTGCTTGTTGGGAGGATGAAATGAATTTATAGATAGGTGACAGACAAGGACCTCTTAGAAGGCAGAGCTGGTCCCCATATATCTCCAAATTGGGGATGGTCACAGGGCAGGTATTCATGAACATTGGCTCCCATCAGCAAGTGGGGCAAAATAAAGAAGTGGTCTTCCAACTCTAGTGGTCGCCCATCACAATGCTGCCACGTGGTCGTGAATTCATCTCTTTTGAACTCCTAAAAATCAGCCAAAATATCTATCCAGATGACTAAAATAGAAAGTAGTCATGGTACCAAATCCTGGCAGGGAAACTAGATCACTTGTACATTGCTGGAAGGAATAAAACTGGTCCCACCCTGCTGGAGAACAGTTTGGCAGTTTCTTTTAAAACTAAAGGTGCAGTTATCAGATGAGCCAACAAATGTCCTTTTGAGCATTTGCCCCTGAGGAAAGAAAACATATTCACATAAAATCCTCAAACTGGATGCAACCCAGACGTTAGTGAGCAGGTGAATGGTTAAACAAATCACGGTACATCCATGAGGTGGAGTGCTACTCATCAATATTGGGAAATGAAGTGTTGGTACACTGACAGTTTGAGGGATCTCACAGGAATGATGCTGAGTACAAAATGCCAATCCCCAAGAGCTACCTACTCTCAGATTCTGTTTACATACTGCCTTTTTAAAATGACAAAATTCTAGTCGGGGGATACATTAGTGATTGCTTAGGGCAGGAACAGGAGCGGATTGCGGGGAGAGCTTAGGGAAGGATGTAGATATGGTTATAAAAAAACACATGGATCCCTTTGGTGATGGAACTTTCTGTCTTGACTGTGGTGGTGGATACACTGATAAAATTTCATAAAACGAAGCGCACATTCATTAAGGAACCTGTGACACCTGGGAAATCTGACTGGGATGGGTGAATAAGATAAAATGAGTGGATTGTATACGTATCACGTTCCCAGCAGTCGTAGTTTTTGAGAATGTCACCAGTGAGGCAAGCTGAGTAAAGTGTACTGGGTGGGACCTTTCTGTGTTATTTGTTACAATTGTATGTGAATCTATAGTGATCTCAAAGTAAAAAGTTTTCTTAATTAGAAAAGGATTGCAAGGTATTCAAAACAAAAATAAAAATGAAAGCAAACAAAAGCGGCCAAAGGCAGTCAGCTAGTTTCCTGTTGAGCCTTGCCTTTGGCTTATGTATGAGGTCAGACATGCTCAGAGCCCTGGGGCCTGTGACAACTGCCAAACCAACCCCCTCCCATTTTGCAGGTTTGCCCTCTCATAGCAGGGCTGGGAGAGACTTGAAGACCATTCTCATCCATCCTGATGATGTGTGTGGGATTTGTGTGTCTTCGTATGCAGGCTGAAGCCAAACCCTGGTCATCAGCCTCCTTAAGCCTCCTTAAGAAGTGTGGGGGCAACAGAGAACTCAGGAAATATTGGCTTCGGGGAGCCCAGGGCAATTTGCACCCTTTTAAAGAAAGCAGGCATTTCCAGTTGTCCTCTGCCTGTGCCCATCTTTCCCTGTCTCCCTACAACTAGCAGCTAGTGCTGAATTTACCTCTCCTTGCCCTTCTTCCCCTAAGCTTCTTTCTCTTTGCTATTAGGTGTGCAATTTTCTGACCAGCTCATTTTATTCCTTGATCACCTTGTAAATTCTAGGAGGCAATAGAACATTTTTTGGGGGGGTACCGGGGATTGAACTCGGGACCTTGTGCTTGCAAGGCAGGCAGCTGAGCCACTGAGCTAAATCCCTGGCCCTGAAATAGAACATTTTGAAGGTGGGAAAACAGGCTTGTAGAGGTTCAATAGATTGTCCTCAGACCCCTTTCTTTTGCATCTATGCTGGCATGAAAATCAATTGGTGTAAGGCTATGAAATTCTGCTGACCTCGTGTTGTTTGAGACTCATGAGGAAGAGGCATGCTTCTCTTTCTTTTTTCTTTTTCTTTTTTCCAAAGAAGGAAAGTTCAGCTAAGATTGTCTAGACTCCAGTAATTTTGGAGTCATTAAACTTTTATCTTTTTAAACTGAGGATCCCAGTGAGCTTTTGTAAATTTTTACCCATCAATATTTAACTGAGATTTTTAAAAATGGCATTAATTTCTTTAAAAATAATAAAGCTGTGAGAGCAATAAGTGACACCGATGGAAAGAATATCCATTTCAAAAACAACAACAAAAATGAGTGAGGGAAGTGCCAGTGTTTTACATTTTGCAAATCTCTTTATTTAATAATACCTCCATTTTCATATCTCTGTCTCCTCTTAATCTGTTGCAATGTCGCATGTCATGTAGCTTTGGGAACCACTATATACTTGTAAGAAAATGAGAATGGAAAGGTTTAATAATGTCTTAGTCAACCTATGCAAGTAGTTTTGACCTTCCAACTTCTTGAAAGGGTCTCAGGGATTCCCTACAGGGTTCCTAGATTATACTTTGAGAACCCTTACAGTAGTATATCCTCCGGTTTCTTTCTGAGCCCAACTCTTCTGTCTCCCTAACAAATTGCATCCCATAATGAGCAGAACAAAACAGGCTTATGCAGAAGTGTCAGATATTCATATCTCTGAGGATTTGGCTTCTCTTTGGATGCCCGCATGGTCGTCAGATTTTTGGGGTTCTGCATCCCCACCTTTCAAGTCCCCATGTAGTCCTTTAGCTCCAGTGCCTAAACCCTCATAGAACCGTGTAAGCAAGCTGGACGGACATGGCTCCTACTATGTGCTTGTGGGGGAAAGGCAGGTAAACACGGCTGTCTCAGAGCTTTCTGGAACAGCAGAAAGGGTTTCTACCCCTGCTATGTATCCAGTATGGCGGCCACTGGTAACGTGTGACTACTGTGTACTTGAAATTTGGCTAGTGCAATTGAGGAAGGGAGTCATGTTATTTTATGTTAATTAGTTTAAATCCAGAAAGCTTCAGGTGGCCACCCAGTGTCATCACACCACAAAGCCAGACCTTGCTGGTACTTGCAGGCTCTTGTCCCAGAAATAATGGAAGGAAACCCTCCAAAGGGTTTTGAATGTGGGGTGATGGGATGACACCGTCCGATCAGTATTTTCGAGCCTGACTAGCATGTTACTCTATTTCTCTTCCCATGCCACAGGCCCCACCATGAGGCCCCAGCCCCTTGGGAGCCCACGCACCCCCCTGGCCCCGGCTGCACCGTGCTAGCCCCGCCAGGGCGTGGGGACG